CGCAAAGTGGGAGGAGCAGGATGAGGAGGAAGGGAGCTACACCGCAGACCCCGACCTGCACTCGCATGCGGCTCCCCTTCTCAGGACAGCGTTTCGTGGCCTCATCGGGAGCTCCACCGAAGGCCCCAGTGGCTGCACTTGCATGCGGGTCCCCCACCGGGGACAGCGTTCCGTGGCCCCATACGGAGTTTCTTACTCATCCTACTCCTCCTCCTGCTCCTCCTCCCCCCCCCTGCTCCTCCTCCATCCTCGTTTGTGCCACCCTCCATCTCGAGTGGCCGTGACTGGATTGCAGGCGGCGCACATCATGTTTTTCTCGCAACGGAAACTTAGAAAATGAACCTGGCAATGGACCTAACCATATGCAGGTGTGGGTTCCGCAATGTTGAATCTCGTCTTCGATGGAGCTCCCGATGAGGCCACGAAACGCTGTCCTGGGTGGGAGAACCGTACGCGAGTGCAGCCATTGGGGCCTTCGGTGGACCTCCCGATTGAGCCGAGAAACGCGGTCCTGGGCAGGGGAACCCGCATACGAGTGCAGCCACCAGGGTCTTCGGTGGAGCTCCCGGCCACAAAACGCTGTCCTGGGCGGAGGAACCGCATGCGAGTGCAGCCACCGGAGCCTCCGGTGGAGCTCCCTACGGGGCCACGAAACGCTGTCAGGGGTGGGGGGACCGCATGCGAGTGCAGCCACTGGGGCCTTCGGTGGGGCATCCAATAGGGACACAAAGCGCTGTCCTGAGTGGGGGAACTGCATGCGCGCGCAGCCGCTGGGGCCTTCGGCGGAGTAACACGAGCGGTCAGCAGAGGGGAGCAGGAGGAGGAGGATGATCAGGATGAGGAGAAGCTAGCTGGGGTGGAAAGTGAGGAGTGAGGAGGAGCATGAGGAGCACGATGAGATCCATGGGAACCCTATTCCCGATGAATTGGATCAGCAGGCAGGAAAATCTGAACTGGCTTGGGACTGCGCGACATTCCCAAACAGATATTTTGACAGGGGAGCGGGGCCCCAACACGCCGGCGCATACTATGGAACTCTCGTTTTGAAGCGAATTGAGAAACATTGAGACGGATTGAGAGAAATTGAAATCTTTTGAAAGAAATTGAAATATAATTCTCCCTTCAAGCCGTGGATTAAGAGAAATTGAGACGAGAAAGGCGGTCCAATTGAGGACAATTGAGACCGTTTGCGGTGTCCAATGGAAGTTTTCGAAATGGTTTGATGGCAATGCGATTTGGGAGCATGATGAAAGCAGCAGACGGATAGGCGGCAGGAGAAGCAGACGGCGAGGACCCGATGGCATGGACCATGGCAACTGGAGCCAAAACATATGTCCCAAACGCGGGCAAACGGTGGAGGATGCACATGCCACAGGGCCTTGCGCTCGTTAGAGGTGCGCTCGAATGCCAAGGGCTGTCTAGCAGGGTTCCTGCAAGTCTTCTCAGGGGCTGCCGCCGCCCCTCGCCGCAGAGCGCCGCATGCATCGGGCCCCGCTTCCCCAGTGAAAAAACAAGTATTCACTCCCGCAACAAGGATCCTCCGTGGAAGTACATCAGGTCCACGCTCTCGCGGCAACGATTCATCGCAAATTTACCTGGAGATGGCCCTCACCATATGCAGTTGTGGGTTCCGCAATTGTGAATATTTCATCTTCGATGGAGCTCCACACGGGTCCACGAAGCGCTGTCCTGGGTGGGGGGACCGCATGCGAATGCAGCCACCGGGGCCTTCGGTGGAGCTCCCGATCGAGCCGAGAAACGCGGCTCTGGGCAGGGGAACCGCATGCGAGTGCAGCCATTGGGGCCTTGGGTGGAGCTCCCTACGGGGCCACGAAACGCTGTCCTGGGTGGGGGGGACCGCATTCGAGCACAGCCACCAGGGCCTTCGGTGGAATCCCCGTTTGAGCCGAAAAACTGGGTCCTGGGCGGGGGGACCGCATGCGAAGCAGCCACTTGGCCTTCGATGGAGTTTCCGATTGAGCCGAGGAACGCGATCCTGGGCGGAGGGAACCGCACGCGAGTGCAGCCACTGGGGCCTCGTCGGAGCCCACGACGGGGCCACGAAGCGCTATCCTGGGCGGAGGTAGCCGCATGCATGTCCGGCCACATGGGCCTTCGGCGGAACTCCCGATGAGGTCACGAAGCGCTGGCGTGAGTGCTGGAACCGCATGCGAGTGCAGCCACAGGGGCCTTCTGCGGGGCTCCCCATGGGGCCACGGAGCGCTGTCCTGGGTCGGAGGTCCGCATGCTGGTGCAGCCACCGGAGCCTTCGGTGGAGCCCAGAAATGGGGCCACGTAGCGCTGTCCTGGGTGGTGGAACCGCATGCGAATGCAGCCACCAGGGCCTTCGGTGGGGCTCCCCATGGGGCCGCGAAATGCGGTCGTGGGTGGGGGCGCGCCTGCGAATGGAGCCGCTGGGGCCTTCGGTGGAGCTCCCGACGGGGCCACGAAATGCGATCCTGGGCGGAGGGGATCGCATGCGAGCGCAGCCGCTCGGGCTCTAGGTGGAGCTCTTTTTTCGGGCTGCGAAACGCCAGCCTGAGCGGGGGAACCCCATGCTACTGCAGCCGTTGGGGCTCTCGGTAACAACCCCTATGGCGCCACGAAACGCAATCCTGGGTGGGGGATGCGAGTGCAGCCACTGGGGCCTTCGGCGGAGACCCCTACAGAGCCCCGAAACGTTGTCCTGTGTGCGGGAGGCGCATGGTGGAAAAGGGAAGAGGGAAAAGGGGGCGAGGAGGTGAGGAGGAAGGAACGCGGGGCACTCTCTTCGAAACGAGGACCTAACACCACAAGATGGTTGAGAGTGGCGACGCTGGCGACGAACAAATTGGGGGATGGCCCCCCAAACCGCTCCCAAACTCGGGCATTCCGAAAACATTTGCTCCTTGACCCAGAGCAAAGACGATATTGATCCCGCCAGTCTCGTTCCAAAGCGCACAATCGCAATGGGTGTCCAGACGTAGAGAAAGAAACGCCGATAAACATGCGCCCAGCCCCCAACCGCTTCAGTCACACGCAAAGCCAACCCAGAGCGACATCGAGGCGTTTTCAAACTGCCGCATGGGCGAAATTTATAGGGAAATGTTCACATGCGCAGGCCGCCTTCCGAGAAGCAAAAAGACGATCTCGCACCAGCAAACGCGCTCAACTTTCGCACCCCCCGTTGACGCCACCCCCAAGTGGAGCTGAAGGACCGACGGCTCCAAACAAGACTACATCAGCCAGAAGTGGTCGATTCATGTTTTGTACGAGGCACACGATGTTATCAAGCCATGCGTTGGCGCAGACTAGGACGGCTCGTCACTGCTCGAGTTCGAGGGGACCGTCTGGAGCCACAGCACCGCTAGGGCAGGCAGGGCTGCCACGAGCGTGGAGGCAAGGATGAACCTCAGAGAACCAATTGCGGCAGTAGCTATCGCCGCCCTACCTTGCAGGCAAAAGGAGCGAGGAGGGACAAAGCAGGGAGGAAAGCTTCGGCCGGGAGGGCAGGAGGAGGGAGGCGAGAAAGAGGTGCATCCTTCTCATCGTCATCCGCATCATCCTTCCCTCCACCTCGCAACACTGCCCCTCGCCGAATCCACCTCCTTCTCTGGCTCCTCCTCCTCCTCCTCCTCCTACTTCTCCTCCTCCATCCTCCTCCTCCTCCTCCTCCTCATCCTTCTCCTCCAGCCTCCCGCCCCTCCGTCTAGGGAGTTCATTGTGTTACCCCCTTCTTCCCCTTCGGGGAGGGCGGCCCCCCTCCCCCTGACCTCCCCCCCTCCCCCGAGGGACTCCAAGGCCTCGAAGAGGGCACCACGAGAGCCCCAGGAGGGCCTCCGGAGAGAGCCAAGAGAGCCCAAGAGGTCTTTAAGATGGCCCCACGATTGCCCCAAGAGTGCCCCACGACGCTCCCAGAGCGAAAGATCGCAGAGGCCTTGATATCTACTCATGTCGTTGTTGTCGTCGGCGACGACGACGATGACAACCACGAGGAACTGCAAGCGACGACGGGCAAGTAACCGGTCAACCAGGACAACCACGAGGAGCACATTCCTGATCAGGGTCACTCGCCTGGTGTCTCTTTTCAAAATCATGTAATCGAAATGCGCGAAGCGTCAAAAACTTCTGTAGTATCCATAGCCGCCCTGCCTGGCGGGCTCAAGGAGAACGGCGCTTCGGCGGGGAGGGCAGAAAGAGGGAGGAGAGAAGGAGTTGCATCCTTCTCATCGGCGTCTGCCTCCTCCTCCCCTTCAACCTCCCCACCTCCTCCCTCGCCGCCCCCACCTCCCTCTGTGGGCTCCCCCATCCACCTCCTTCATCCTCCTGCCCCTCCGCCTCTGGCTCTCGATACCTCGTTTCTCGCACAGCCTGAGGCCGATGATGATGATGATGATGATGATGATGATGATGATGGTGAGGATGTGAGTTTTTGCTCCCTCGCCCTGTGGCGTGCAGAATAGGCCTGAGAGACTTTGCTACCCCTGCTGTAGCCTCGGATGCTGAGCGCGTTGAGCCTAAATGCCGTCGTAACCCTTGTTCCATTGCCTGCATTCGCGCAGGGAATAGGAATCAATGGGGCTCAAACCACCGTCCTACCCCAACCAACCTCCATTGATGGGACAAAAATCTGTACTCAGGGCAAATCATGTGCTTTCAATGCCTTGAGCTTCTGGACCAGGTGGGAGTCACCCAGCCGCCAAATCAGGTGCAACTCGAAGCCCGTCGCGCCGGACCATCTCATGTTGAGACGGCGCAGCACGCGAGGCAAGCCTGCAAATTGCCACTGCCAGAAGAACGGAACTACAAGATAGATCGCGTCCCCCAGCTTGTCAGGAGGAGCCTGGATTGCGGGATGGCGCGCCTGTGCGACGGCTTGCAAGATGAGAGAGCTGGCGCCTGATGCCTTCAGGCGGCCAACGAACTGCAAACCGAGGGAGGGGGAATTGCACAATCAAAAAAACCTCCTCGCCATGGCAACTGGCCACGCTCTGTGCGCGGAGGGGGCGTCGTGGAGACTGTCATCGCCAAGGGGGGTCCATTGACTGGTCGTCTTCTCGTGCACCCTGTAGCTGAATTTGCACGGCTCGGGCCGTTTGAAAAGAAACACATCTAAAAGTGCCACCTCCGACGGAGCCACACTTTCGAGCTCCAAGGTGAAAGGTGACGACTCTCTGTTCAGCGTCGCCAAAAAACAAGTCTGGATTGTTATTGGGGCCGTCCAGGAAAGCGATGATGTCGTCTTTGAACCTGAAGTAAGTCACCAAACCTACTGACTGTACGAACGTTCGGTTTGAGAGAAGAGTGTTCTCGGCTGGAAAATAGGACGCTGCATTTGAGACCACACCACTGCAAATTATGCCCATCCCGCTGCCGCTCACGACCTGCCAAATGGCGTCGAAGCCCGGGACCTCCACGAACTGGCTTCCAGAATAAACGTCAACGCAACAACGTACATTTGTTTGTGGTGCCCCTGGAAAAAAAACCTGAAACTTCGACCAATCAGCATCTCATAATACCCACTCATACAATATCATTTGACGTATATCTTCACGGCGGACACGTGTGGTGCGAACGACTTATCCCGCAAGGCTCGCAGAAGCTGTGGCGGATCCTTCACGAGATGAGGTATGCGGACAAGATGCTGGCGTAGAAGGTGGCTCACGTACCGCATGGCTGGAACAAGCGGGCTCCACGGCCGCATGCGGCAACAAAAAGCCGTCTCGTACAATTCCATTGGGACTTGTGGGCCTTAGCTGTTGCAGAGGCCCTGAAACGGATGGCACCAACATCCGAAGAACTACTCGCCAGAGTTTTCAATAGATCGTTGTCCATGTGGTCTCTTCCCTGGCCATCGCTCGGACGTCCATTCCCTGTGTTTTTTTTCCGGTTTCGCGCGTGTTTTTTCGCCAAATGATCAAGGATGCTCCTCGATGGTCCTCGCCGAAGGAAAAATGCACACGTCCGAGCGATGCCAGGTTCCTCTCCTACAGGAAGTGCTTGCACGTCTCCAAACACTCGCTGCAAGCGTCCCGTGCGTGCACGTCGAGGCACGGCACGTCGAGCCCGCGGCACAGTCAGGGCGTTGACCTAAGGAACCCTAAATAAGGAACGAGGCCCCTTTTTTTCCATAAGTTAAACTTCGACTTCCGATCGAAAGCCGAAGGACAACCTTGGGGAAGCTGTGAAACACGCAAGGAACACCCAGCCCCTCCCCAACGAAAAGGGTTCCTTCTTCAGGGCCCCGACTGTATCACGCGGGGTTCCGAAAACAGGAAAAGAAAACCATGTTCAGCCTCAGTTTGTGACACCTTGCGAAGCCACTGTCCCTGTCTGTAGGAAGAGCACCCCAAGCGGCATGGCGTAGAAGCCGAAAGCCTGACGCAATGACCTTGGGGAGTGCTGGAGACAAGCCATGACGAATCCGTGCTTTCACGCATGCATCCCATACAGAACAAACCAAAATCCTCCAGGTAGGAAGCGCACGGCTGAAGGGCTCCACCAGGAAAAAGGGCGGGTGACAGCAGGTCTTTCAGCCAAGAAACGCCACTTCTGAGGCTCATCTCCAGAACAAGGTTGTCGCCAAACGGTTTTGTTTGACAAGTTCCCCAAGCTCAAGCCCATTTGAAATAGCGACGGCTTGCGAGTACAAGAAAAATGCGTTTGCGATGGAATCGAAGTAGACACTCCACTGTCCAAGTCAATGTGCCCGGCTGCGGCACAGCAGTGGTCTTCTCCAGCGGGTCGTGCACATAGATCCCAGGATGACCTCTGCCGCACGTCAACAGGTTGCCCAAAAGTTTCGCAAATATGCCTCGGACTAACGATTCGAACGCAGCGATGATTGCCTGGCAGCGGCAACACTTCGGAGGGAAAGGAGATGTGAACGGACGGTGCCAATGACGATGGGATCGCCTATGCCCTTCCCTGATGCGTTGTAGCCTCAACCATTTCCGCGCTGCCCACGAACCCTGGGTTTGGGCTTGGGTTTCGGCTTGGGCTTCGGGGCTGGACAGCCCTTTTTGCCCTTGTCTTTCGAAGTTGTTTTGCCTTTCGGTGCCCCTTTTCCCGTTTCCTTTGCCCTTGCCTTTGTCGGACGCCTTGCCCTTACCGTTCGCCTTTCCCTTGCTGGTCGCTTTGCCCTTGCCTGCCCCCATCGCTGCCCGCGGGGGGCAAGTCGTTTTTTGGAAGCGAAATCAAAGCTTCCTTAGAAGATAAATCGCCAAAGGGCTGCTGTGTTGTACCATGATGAAGGCGCCGACGGTGGAATATCTGAGATCGTGGACCGAGATTTTCTCGCAGCAAGGATCCGCGAGCCGATCACCAGATTCAACAGCTCTGCGGGGGGCTTGCTGGATACGTCGTCTGCGATGTCCGCTCTGGTCGGCATGCTGAGACAGCGAAGCTCGTCAGCGCCGCCCAGTCCCCGTCAACGCAATTCGCCTCCCAGAAGCGTCCGAATGCCGACAGGATCGTCGAGCTAGGACGGCGACGCTCGTCGTGCTCTCTTGATGCCGAGGCCCGCCACGGCGTCCAGGTACCTGCGTTTGGCCGCCTCCAGCACCGCAGGCTCTGCCTCTCGAGTTTGGCGGAGCTCTTCGGCAGCTTCAGTACATGCTCGCTGGCGGTCGGCGACGTCCTCGCTGCCCAGCAAGTCCATGTCCACGTCCTCGGAGTCGACAGGCACATTGACGTGGTGGCCCGCTCCAGCTGCTGCGCCTCCGCCGCCAGGGGGCCCACCAGCACCAGGGTCAGCCACGCCGGCAGCTTCGCCACGCGCATCATCTGGAGCTGCAGTTGCCTCGGACCTGGCCTGGGCGGCTGCCGGCTGGAGGCGCTCCAGCGTGGCGAGCGCGGCCTGGCCCTCGGCGGACTGCGCGACGCAATCGTCCAGCGTGGCGCTGACGGCTTTGAGCGGGTTGGGGGGCTCCTCGGCCTGCAGGCGCAGGCAGGCCGACTCCGCATTGGCCAGCTCCTCTTTGCATGCCATGGCCGCCGCAGTGACCTCCGCCAGGGACTTGTCGAGCTCCTCCCTCTGGCCGCTGAAGGCCTTGGCCCTGCCGTCCAGCTTGGCCAGCAGGTTCTCCGCCTTCCACCGCGCAGAGCGAGCCGAAGGGCCCTTGGCCGCAAAGATCTGCTTGGCCTTCTCCGCCTCCTCGACCCCAGCCGTGTCCACTCCCTCCCGCTGGAAGAACTGCAGCACCTCCGCGAACGAGAGCTCCTTCGCGCTGGCCGGCGGCTGGGCGGGCGGGGCCCTGGCTGCCCAAGGCGGAGCCTTGCCCTCGAGCGCGGCCAGCTTCGCCGGGAGCTCGCGGATCTGCTTGGCCTGCGCGTCGCCACCCGCGCCGCCGCCGCCTTGCGCCGTCCGCGACGGGCCTGCGGCCCAGGCTCCCCGCGGTGGCCCGCGCTGCGCGCCGCTGGGCACGAGCTTGGCCGCCGCCGCGCGTGCCGCCTGGGCCACTCTGGCGGGAGCACGGGCCGCGCAGGCCCGTGCATGTGAGCCGCGAAGCCCAGTTGTCCCACCAACCGAACGAAGGGCACCCCCGCGAGGGCGTCTTGGCGCCAGGGAGGACATCGGGCGGCGGGGGCCCCGTGCGTCGCTGGCGGCGGCGACTCGGGCGAACGTCGAAACCAGAGTGGCTCGCAAGCACGAGCTGCTCTGAAGCACGCGCTTGCAAGCGCAACGCCACAACGGCCTGCGCCAGAACGGCTAGGAGAAGGAGGAGGAGGAGGAGGAGGAGGAGGAGGAGGAGGAGGAGGAGGAGGAGGAGGAGGAGGAGGAGGAGTGGGAGGAGGACGAGGAGGAGGACGAGAAGGAGGAGGATGAGGATAGGGAGGCACCAACTATACACCAACACCGATCCCAGCCAGGATCAACCTGGGCCCAGGATCGGTGTATACGCCCTCCTGCCATGGGCAGAATGCATATACACCGATCCTGGGCCTAGGATCGGCCTGGGCTGGATCGGTGTAGGTGTATAGTTGGTGCCCTCCGAGAGGAGGAGGAGGAGGAGGAGGAGGAGGAGGAGCATAACGCGAGGGAGGAGTCGGAGGATGATGTGGGAAAGGAAGAGCAGGAGGATGAGGCATAAACGGCGCGGGAGAAGCCAGAAGAGGGGAGGAGGCGCGCCATGTCCTGAACGCCCCGCGCCCCCCGGGGAACATATGGTGATCAACTTCCAGGTCTCCATCTGCAGTAAGATGTGGAAGGAATTCTCCATCAGGAGACGGTTGCTCACTCCCTCCTCAGGCCGCTGCCAGGAGAGGGGCTGGGCGACCACCACGGCTTGCCTCCGACCGCGTCCACGGCCGAGGCCCACTGAGAACACGACTCTCCTCTCTCAACTGACAATGTCCATTTCGGGAGTCGCCTCTCCCGCGTACTGCTTGGTTCCCTCACCCACCTTTCAACCATTGTTGATTTAACATCCTGCTTTCGGTCGAACGAATTTTCGCACTCCACAACGGCGCTCCCGCTGCAGAGCAGGCCACAGTGGCGAATCGGCGCTTCGCCACCGTCGTTCCGAATGGCGCTCTTGCTCGAGCGAAGGGCCACTTTCTGGAACCGCCTTCTCCCCCGTCGTTACCGAACCCTCCTTTCCCCTCATCCTCCTTCCTCTGGTCCTCCTTACCCTCCTGCTCCTCCTACTCCTGCGTGTGAAATATTTTCATCTGGGCCGACTTGCCACTCTTAAGCAAGCGCAAGCCCGAGAAGATGACTCAGAGGGCTGATCAGGTCCTTTCGTCCATACCTTGCCAAGAGCGTTGCCCCGGCATGCAGCAAGTGGCAGGCCGAATCGTCTGGCGATGCGGTTTCCGCATGAAAGGAGCTCGAGTCCAACATGCGAAGAAGCGGATGGGACGTTAGGCCTGCTTCGCTCGTATTATTGTGGCTAGGGCTGCTACACTCGCCCTTGACGCTGAGCCTCCCCCCAAGATTGTGTATACGTCCTCTTCCTTTCGAAGGTTTTCCCACCTTCGGTGACAACCCATGGGAGCCTCCCATACCATCTTGTCGGCTCCTGCGAATCGACGCGGATCGTCGCCACACCGACGCTGAATCGACGCTGAGCGACGCTGAACGACGCCACATCGGCGCTGCCTCATCGACTTCCAGAGGCGAATCGACGCCAGTCGACGCTGAAGACGGAATCAAGAGGGCACGCCAAGCTCCCATGGCTTGCCGCCGCATCCCGCCCCCTTCGGGTCCGTCGAGGGGGCGCGCGGGGCCTCCTCGGCGCAAGCGCGCCTGCTCCTTCGGCCTCGGCCTCGCCTCCGAGGGGGCCTCTCGGGGGCCTCTCGGGGGGGAAAGGGCTCGTGTTTTCGGCTCCTGGTGCCTCTTTGGGGCCCCTTCGGGGGCCGTCTT